ATACAATATATATTGATGAGTAGTATTTTTAAAAAATTTAATTGACTACAAAGCTACAAAGATTTATAATCAATTAAAAGTATTAATAAAGAAAATAGAATAAAAGTTATTAAATTAGATTCAAATAATATTTAATATAAATAATAATTTTTAAATCTTGCCCCAACCCTTAACATCATATGGCTACGTGATTATGCTTGTCAAAACGACTCTTTGTTTGTGAACAGCTCATGTTCGGCTTGCTAAGCAAACGAGCCAAGCACGAGCACACTTTTTGAGCTCGAAATATAAACGAGTCGAACACGAGCCCAGGCTCAGCTCGTGTTCGGCTTGCTTACACCCCTAGCTAGTAGTAATGATGTTTGTAGATCACGAGGGCTGGAGTCGGGAGTTGCATGAGCTAAGGAACACATAGGTCGTAGTTGGTCATATAGGTCGTAGTGGCGAGTACATTTGTAGGTTGCAAGGGTCGGTGTTTGGAGTCACACTAGTTGAGGACCATGTAGACCATAGCTGGTCATGTAGGCCGTGGTGGTGAGTAGTAGTGGTGTCCGTCAGTCTTGGGGGTTAGAGTTAGAACCTGCGAGAGATGAGGACCATATAGATCTTAGTTTATCACGTAGGTGGTAGTGGTGATTAGCACTGACATTTGTAGGCTTATGTGACCAAAGTCAAGAGCTTCATGAGCGTATGTGTGGTGCCTCATTACACAAATCTTTGAGATGCATTGTTACACCATCTTTGGGGTGGCATCCTAATGTTCGAGATGATGCGTCGCTTTGCCTATTGCTTCATGACTCTGTGATGTCAGTTGTCGCTTCACATAGTGGTTCATCGTAAAGAGCAAATGGATGTCGGAGAGTGGTGGTCTCCATCAGGCAACGACTGGTGGTCGTCAACAGGCAGTGGCTGGTTGTCGACAACAGGCAGTGACTGGTTGTCGATAGCAGATAGTTACTAGTGGTCAGCGGCGAAATGACGTTGGATTTTAGCTCCTTCTCTAAGCATTAAGATTTTCCTTACACTTCAAGCTCATGAGAGGGATAAAGCTCTATTTATAGAGTTGCATGTGCAATTAATACAAGAATATGAGCAATTTTGATTTACAACTCAAAAGTCTTCCCTGGATCAGACGTCTTTTAATGAATATTTGAGTGTCTTAATGATGTCGAAATTGAGTGATCTTGGGATTGTTGGATTCGCCTTATCGAGAAGTTTGATTTGACTATAAACTTGTCAGATTCAACATCTGATTGACCTTTCAGATGTAATCGAAAAAACTCTCAAACATGGTTTAACATCTTGATTGGGTTATAATTTGGATTGAATTGGACCAACTTTAGTATCATTGGGTCCGTCTCATCGAGTCGGTCAGTTTGACTATCAGTTTACTAAAATCAAAGCTCTGGACAACTCTTAATTCAAGTTTAAATATTTCTCGCTTAAAAAGATGCATTGAGATTCATGTTATACTTTGAAATTCATGCCAACCGTTATGAATTTGTTGATGGGGTATTACTATTTACAGAATTTATCCATAAATTTAACTTAAATCTCACCAAACATAAAAACATAAAAATTAAATCCAACACTCCCTTGATCACAAATTTTTAGATTAATTGCTAAATAAATAGCATAAATATGAATTTATTAAATATAATTACTACGCATATTTATGAGACATCACTCGTCCTTGCTCGGCATGGCTCGCAAGATCCGCAAAAATTTGAAAAATCCTAATCTAACAGAATTTGACAAATCCTGTTTCAACAGAAGATATTACCCATGCCACATTCCAAAATTTTATGCGAAAAAATTATTGACATATTATATCACATTTTATACCTTATATTTTGCCCTCAAAGGCCATCCACAAACGCCTTAAGGTTTTTTAGACGATGATCTGTCCTGTGCGACCGCCGCTCTAGCCTTCTCCTTACACTCCCCAACCTTCTTCCTAATCTCCCTTGCCCTATCATCATCCCCCATCACTACATCCAAACCACGCCTTAACTCCGCCGCCTCCACAACCCCATCCTCCCCTGCCTCCGCCTTCACCCCAATCCCCCATGCCGCCTCCACCAACCTCGCATTTGTCACCTGCTCAATCCACTGCGGGAGCATCACCATCGGCACCCCATTCACTATTGCCTCAGACGTAGAGTTCCACCCACCGTGCGTCACAAAGCACCCCACAACCTTGTGATCCAACACCCTCACTTGCGAGCACCACTCCACCACCATCCCGATGCTTAATTTCAAAGCCACATCCATTTCAATCCCTTCCGGTCTATTGTCCTTCCTCAGCACCAAAAAGTACGGCTGCCCACTCACCTTCAGTTCCATATCCAACTCTTCCACTTGTCGCAAAGTTAGTAGGGTCAAGCTGCTGACAGCCACGTATACCACCGACCGTTCCTTCTGCGCGTCCAACCACTCCATGTATCCTCTTTTGTCCTTCTCAAACAATTCCTTGCTTGTTTTCGCTGCAAGCACATGGTTGTTGTCTACAACCGAACAAACAGCGACCAGTTCAAACTCAGTGGTCTCATCTATCACTGGTGCTTCCAGTTGATAGAATGTGTTCACCAAAACTTTAGGTTTCTGACACTAACCGAGTTCTATGAATGTCTTTGTGGGCAGATAGGTAGAGGTTCGGCGTTGTAGTAATAAAGGGTTGGTCCTTCCTCCGTAGAGAAGGTAGGCCCGGTAGTTCTATGGAGAAAGATGATTCTTTTTTATCAGCAACGGCGAAAATGAAGCCTTGATGGCCTTGGAAGTAGTGACAGTAGATGGCGAAGATTGATGTAGGTTGTATCCAATAGTGAATGACATGGATGCCGAGATCTTGCGCAAGACCATGGTTCGATTTCAAGTTGATTTCGAAGGAAATTGGACAGTGGAAAAATTCATTGAAAATCACAATCATCCTTTGGCCGAAAGTGGTGACAAACATCTTCTTCATTCCAGCAGAAGGATAAGTGAGCTCAATACAGATGTGTTGAGAGCAATGACAGGTTCAGGGATCAGAGCAACGCATGTATACAATTTCATTGCCACGGAGGTTGGTGGTGTGGAGAATTTGGAATGCACCAAGAGAGATGCATTTAATTTCATCCAAAGAGAAAGAAGACAAAGAATTGAACAGGGAGATGTCAATGTTTTAATACAATTGTTCATGGAGAGTCAAGCTGGGGATAGCATGTTTGCTTGGGATTTCCAAACAGATGATTCTGGTAGGTTAATAAGCATTTTTTGGAGTGATGGATTATGCAGGTTGGATTATGACTGCTTCGGGGATGTCATAATTTTTTATACAAGCTGCAGATTAAATAAACATAACTTATGTTGCGCTCCATTTGTGGGGGACACCACTGGCAGAACATACTGTTTGGAGTTGGATTTTTGTCTGATGAGACTACCGAATCATTCATGTGGTTATTCAAATCATTCATTCGAATAATGAGAGACAATTATCCCATAACAATCTTTACCGATCAGGATCAAGCATTGGCAAGAGCCATTGCAAAATGCCTCTGACAAACACATCACAGATTATGTCAATGGCATATCTACAAAAAACTTTCTTCCAAAGTACACTGTGGAGTGCGTACTAAGAGCATCTATGGTCTTTTTATAAATGATTGAGCAACTGTGATTCTGAGGAGGAGTTTGAAGAAATGTGTTCCTTAATGATTGAGTTGGGAGAACTACAAAGCAATGTCTGGTTAGATGAAATGTATCGTATAAGGCATAAATGGTCAACAACATTTAATAAGGATATATTTAGTATGAGAATCCTATCAACATAGAGAAGTGAGTCGACCAATAATGTTTATCATGGTGTTTCAAAGCCAACTAGCTCTCTCATAGATTGTTTTATCGGTCTTGAAAACATAATGAAATCATGGCGCCGGAATGAGAAAACTGAAGATTTCAAATGCGGTCAGTCCGTCAGAATGCTCATGGTTAAAATCAATCCCGTCCTGAGGCAAGCTACCTCATTATGTACAAGGAAGCTTTACTCAATGTTTGAACAAGAGCTATTGAATGGATTATGTGGGTTTACAGCTGAAGTATCAAGATTGGATGATGAGGGGACAAGGCTGCCCTTGAATGTGTTAGTTGATAAAGTTACTTGTGAGGTTACATGTAGTTGCAAAAAATTTGAGATGATGGGTTTGTTATGCTCCCACGCACTATTTGTTCTCAATGTCATCAAAATAAAGGTGATTCCGGTGAAATATTTCTTATTGTGGTGGTCCATCAATACTAAAGGGGACATGTATAACATATTTGGGTGTAGAGATCTAAAAGACTATGGGTTGAATAATGTTTCTTCAAGTTCCCTTATATTTAGTTCATGCTATCAGAAATTTGCATATCAACTCATTAATAGAGCACAAGAAAATGAGTTAGCTGAGGAGTGTTTGTGGGAGACGTTTAAAAAATTATCTAGAGGTATTGAGGACGCTCTAGCAGGGAGAACGATCGAAGTAAAGAAAACAAAAAATAAGAAAGTCACAAATATAGAATGCAATGTGAACGACCCTGCTAAAAAGAGGTCAAAAGGAGTATCTACATCTAGGCTGAAAGAATACTGGGAAAAAAATAAGAAAGCTAAAAGTATAATTTTTTTAAATTTGGTATTTCCTTCATTCCATGTATAATGCATACTTCTAACTTGACCCATTGCATTCAGGAATGGAACAAGAAGTAGCAACTAGCCGTCAAGTTGTTGACGCATTCGAGCAAAGTTTGACAGATTGTCTTACCCAGGTATGTTACTAAAATTCAGTATCATTTGACTGACTTTTATATAAAAAAATCACTCAAATTGAACTTGGTATTACTCCTCTATTGCATGAATACTATGCACCGCAACTAACTGAAACGTACACTGGACTTTTGATGGATTCCATAAGTGAGAATATAGATTGATTGAAATTGTAAAAGTTGGTATACTGTAACATCTTTAAACTTTATTAGAAAGAAGTAATTGATGGTTTATAATATATTTATTTTTCAATTCAAATATTTCTGATTTCTGTCTTAATCTTGTTCAAACGTGGATAATTTGATTATCATAAATATCAATTGTATAACATGTTGAATAACACATACATAACACGTGGATAACATTGGAATAACACTTGAGTAACACTCTGAGTAACACGGTTAATAACACTCTGCAGTAACACGTAGATAACACTTGAGTAACACGCTGATCAACACATTGAGTAACACGTCATTAACATGTTGTTACATGCTGAATAACACGTAGATAACACGTTAGTAACACGCTGAATAACACCCTGAGTAACACGCTGAATAACACGGGAATAATTGGTAGATAACACGTGAGCAACACCTTGACTTAAACTTGTAGTAATCAGCTGAATATCAGGTTGTTACACGCTGAATAACACGTGAGTAACACCTATATAACATGTGATTAACACGTTGAATAACACGCTCAGTAACAAGCTGAATAACGTGTTGTTGCATGCTTAATAACACGTAGATAACACGGGAGTAAAACGTTTAATAACACCTTGAGTAACACGTAGATAGCATGGGAGTAACATGTGAATAACATGGGAATAACATGGGAATAACACGTGAATAACATGGGAATAACACGTGAATAACATGGAAATAACACGGGAATAACATGTGCCTTGCGTTACTGCCCTCTTAATGCGTTGTCTCGCAGCGAATATTCCCCGTGTTACCGGCCGATTAATCGACATTACTCTACATTACCACGCGTAATGTGACATGTTACTACACCGTGTTACCGCCGATTAAATCAGTGTTATTCCACCTTTTGTCGTGTTATTCAGCCGATTAAATTTTTGCGAAAAATTTTTAAACTATGTGAAGTACATTTTATAGGATAAATTAACTAGGATAAGTAAATTTTTTTATATTTATTAAAAATACAAACATAAAATCATAAAAATACCAACAAGATATGAATGTTTTGCCCCATATATGGTCTGTTAGACTATGTGAAGCAATTCGATATATAGTAACACAGTGTAGTAACTCTTCAGAGTGTTACTTACGCGTTATCTACGTGTTACTCTAATGTTATTCAGCGTGTTACTTGTGTGTTATCTACGTGTTACTCTCGTGTTATTCAGTGTGTTACTCAGCCTGTTATTGACATCTTACTCAGGGTGTTATTCAGCGTGTTACTTACGTGTTATCTACATGTTACTTTCGTGTTATTCAGCGTGTTACTCAGCCTGTTGTTGACGTGTTACCAGGGTGTTATTCAGCGTGTTACTCATGTGTTATCTACGTGTTACTCTCGTGTTATTCAACGTGTAACAATGACATGTTACTAAGGATGTTGATCAGCGTGTTACTCAAGTGTTATTTACGTGTTACTCAGGATGTTATTAAACGTGTTACTCGGGTTGTTCTTCAGCCTAAACTCTTTCTACGAGTTTTGTTTCACTTAGTTTATTATTTCAATTTTTAACCCAAATATATATATCATCTTAATGATCCTGCTTAAATCTCTTAAAATAATAAAATATCAGACATGTTGTACCCCCCTCAATTCTTTGTTTGCCTTCACGCATATGATGGAGCTTCTCATTCATATTAGCGACCTGTCTAGCACGTTCCTTAGTATCCGACTGTGACGAGCTGGTGCAACTTATAGAAACACGGGAGATCTCAACCTCGAAGGCTATGCTTTTTGCACCCAGGCCATAGACTCTCCCCTTTTTCCTCCCCATGGCATAGCTCGAAATAAGACTGCGCGGTGATAGGCTGGCTACCATTACTGGTGGTGGTTGTTGGGGTCTGGGAGGCCAACTGCTTGTGCCGGAGTTGCTCGTACTCCTCCTACATAATAAAAATCAATGATTAATTGTCATTTTAAACATTAAGAGTCAAAATAAATGTGAAAAAATCATTTTCTTACTACATAATAAACATTTAGTCTCCAAATAGGATCATCATATAGTTGGTGTTTTCTCTAATCACATGATCCTAATATACTACAAATAAAAAAATAAAATTGGATGTGATTCCTATACAAGGGTGTTATATAAATAAAAATACTACAAATATTAACTGATTTAAAGTGCAATACACACTTTCCTGCATATACTTGGATGTGATTCAGATACAAGGGTGTTTATATATATATAAAGATCATGTTGTCGGGCACGATTGTCTCAGTGTTTCGTCGCGTAATGGAGTTTTCATTTCCCTTCTCATTAAAGATTATTTATAAAATAAAAAAATTCATTTGAGAAATGCAAATATTATTACATCACAACAGAATCAAACGTAGGAAATACTTATCCTAATTATTGTCCATCAAAAATAATTACACATGCCACATCCATAATTTCATTATAGCTTATCCACACATTACATTATAGATCCCCAAAGACCATCCACAAACTCCCTGAGGCTTCTGGAAGATGATCCGTCCTCTGCTAGCGCCGCCCTCGCCTTCTCCTTCCACTCCCTCGCCTTCCTCCTAATCTCCCTAGCCCTCTCCCCCTCCCCCAACACCACATCCAGCCCACGCCCTAGCTCCCCCGCCTCCACAACCCCATCCTCCCCTGCCTCTGCCTTCACCCCAATACCCCATGCCGCCTCCACCATCCTCGCATTCGTCGCCTGCTCGATCCACTGCGGCAACATCACCATCGGCACCCCACTCACTATTGCCTCAGACGTAGAGTTCCACCCACCGTGCGTCACGAAGCATCCCACCGCCTTGTGATCCAAAACCCTCACTTGCGAGCACCACTCCACCACCATCCCCTTCCCTCCCTTCAAAACCAAATCCACTCCAATCCCTTCCGGTCTGCTGTCCTTCCTCAGCACCCACAAGTACGGTCGCCCGCTCGCTTTCAGCCCCACATCCAACTCTTCCACTTGCCGCGATGTCAGCCGGGTCAAGCTGCCGAAAGCCACGTACACCACCGACCGTTCCTCCTGCGCGTCTAACCACTCCATGTAACCTCCCCTGTCTTCCTCAAACAGGTCATTACTTCCTACTGCGGAAAGCAAGTAGCTTTTGTCCACTACCGGCCCAACTGCGATCAGTTCGTACTCAGGGGTCGCATCTATCACCGGAGCTTCCAGTTGATAGAACGTGTTCACCAAAACTTTAGCTTTCTCATACTTGCCAAGTTCTATGAATATGTCTTTGTGGGCGGATAGGAAGGCGTTTGGCGTGGACATGATGGATGGGAGGTCCTTCGGACTTAGAGGAGGCAGGCCGGGTAATTCTATGCAGCAAGATTTTTCTTTTTCATCGGAAGTGAAGCCTTGGTGTCCTTGAAAGTAGTGGTGGTAGATGGTGAAGACTGAAGCAGGTTGGATCCAATAGAGAACGGTAGGGATGCTGAGATCTCGGGCAACATCGGTTGCCCAGGTGAGCAATATGGTGTACAATATGCAGGTCACCGGGCGGCCAGCCGAGGCGAAGTTGCGCACCAGAGCGGCAAGGGTGCGGGAGCCGTGTGATTTTAGTTTTTCCATATAAACAATGGGTTCTACGGTGTCCATGTGAATTCCTTTGTCAAAGCCGTCAGAGTATGGGGCGTAGGAGACAACTCCGGAGATATCTGGATTGAGAGGAGTTTCCTCTGCGACATCGTCGGGCTCACCGGCAGCGGCGAGGGATCCGGGAAAGAGGAGGCGGTGAGAGTATAGAGGGGTGGTGAGGGTGACGCGGGCTTCGGTGGTTCGGGCGAGGCGGCGTGCGAGGTGACGCGCGGGATTTATCTGGCCTTGGGCGGCGATGGTTACCATTAAAAAATGGTGTTTTTGGCCATGGTGGTGGTGTTTGTTGACCATTGTTGGCGTTTCTGAAAGTTGATTGGCGGCAGAGGAATAAGAGTGGATTGGGTGAAGGGAAGATGGAGCGTTGGAGATGAGGATTTGATAGGTATATGGGATGTTGGTATGATGGTTGTGATGTGATTATATATATAATGGTCGTTCTGACGTGTGCGCTGACGATAAAGTTTTGAGAGGGGAGACAGATGGTGTGTCCTGGCAACTCTGTTTTTCCTTAAATTTGTTTCTGTTATGGGAAAAACTAGTATTATAATTTTTTTTTCTTAAGTAAGATCTAGTTAGCAGCGTCTATATAGATTTTAGTTGTTTGGAAATGTAATTTTTTGAATAAACAGTCAAAATACTGTTTATCCAAACTGATCCGTGTGCATTTTTAAAATGCACTGCATCAAACAAGCTGCCCCAAATATGGCTTATATTGTTGGAGCTAAACTCAAAACTCGATGAGCTAAAAATACAATTTTAAGCTAGCCCCGGAGATAATGGGTTGGGTTGTTAAAATGTAATTAATAAAAAAATATACTAAATATATATTAAAATTCAAAAAATATCCTTTAATTATTAAATGTATTTAAGAATTAATATTTTATTTCTGATATTGTGATTCCTTATTATTCATCTACTAAATGTTTATTCAATTTATCATTTTACTATTGAATTAGTTTAAATTAATAATATTTTTTCTCTTTCAGCTTGAATTTGTAGAATTAAATTCAAGTATGGGCTCAAACTCAATTAATTTAATCAAATTTAAGTCAAGAGTTACTCAAGCTCAACTCCTCCCGTTTACACCCCTAACGTTTTGAATGGTTGCAGCAGCCAACTTAAAAGATTTGACCATGCGAGCAGGATGCCAAATCAACATGCTTCGTCTCGTCCCAAATATTTTGAATAATTGGAGCAGACAGCCTGAGAGATTTGTCCATGCAAGCAAGATGCCAAATCAACATATTTGGTCGGCATTGATGGCAAAAAGACGACGTTTGCCAACAAGGCCGTTGCAAAAAGCCTTCTGTCATTTAATATTTAAAAAGTACAAATTCAAACCACTCACTCTTTCTGCGAGTTCTCTTGCAAACGTTTCACTTAGTTTACTATTTCAATTTTTAACCCAAAATGTATATCATCTTAATCATCCTGCTTAAATCACTTAAAATAAATAAAATATCATCTATTTTGCATGATAGACACAAAGGCCAGAGGGAAATATAAGATTTTTGGGTTGGAAATTTAATTTATATATATATATATATATATATATATATATCATCTAAAAGAAATAAATAATATGTTATATTTTTTAAAAACATAAAAATTATGTCATTTGAAGTTCTTACTTATGTATTTAAATTCCTATGTTAAAAAATAAAGTGTACAATTTATTGATGTGAGAGTGATTGATCAACTTGTTGAAATTTTATCAAAATGGAAAAAAATATGAGTTGAGATTTTATTATGTTATCTAAATTGAATGAAGTTATTACAAGTGTAGGTAGTTGGCTAGTTGATTTTAAGTATGTCACACACATAATTGAGGAACTTATTTAATGTGTGATTTCATTATTTTAATAACACGATAACTAGAGCTAATTGGAAATGGTCACCGACGGTAAAATAAGGGTCGATAATGTAATTTATGTTAAATTTACTCGAAGTTGTTCTAAGATAACTTTTTACGTTAGACTTAACGTCCGTGAATTACGCCGCAAAATATTTTCACAAATTACAGTGGGATTTTGCGTTGCAAATTATTGGATGCAGTTTTGCGTCGAATTAGCATAAGAAAAGTCGACGCTAATCCGACGCAAACCTGTAACACAGAAAAAATTTAAAAGAACTTTTAGATTCGTACACCCGCACACAATTAAAAACAATGCTAACGATCACAATAACATGCAAAATTATATCACAAACAAATACCAACACTGAAAAATAACATAATGTAACAAATACTAATCAAAATTATTAAAAGCTTACATCTATGCCATCAATATATGTTCAAATATTTAAGAAAATTATAAATGCATAAGAACTCATCCTCATCCTCTTCTTCCTTGAATACAACACTCACTGGTCGCTTGCCCTGACGATCTTCCATGCTTTTCGCCAGACGTGCTATACGCCCCTCAATTATTTGTTGGCCTTCACACATATAATGGAGCTCCTCATTCACAGCAGCGACCGCATGGCAAGTTCTTCAGTATTCAACTGTGACGAGCTGGTGCAACTTATAGAAACACGGGAGATCTCAGCCTCGAAGACTGTGCTTTTTGCACCCAGGCCATAGACTCTCCCCTTTTTCCTTCCCATTGCTTGCCTCCATAGCTCGAGCTCATACTGTGCGGTGATAGGCTGGCTACCATTACTGGTGGTAGTTGCCTACCATTACTGGTGTAAGTTATTGGGGTCTGAGAGGTCAACTGCCTGTGCCGGAGCTGCTCGTACTCCTCCTACATAATAAAAATCAATGATTAATTGTTATTTTAAACTTTAAGAGTCAAAATAAATGTGAAAAAATCATTTTCTTACAACATAATAAACATTTAGTCTCCAAATAAGATCATCATATGGTTGATGTTTTCTCTAATCAGATGGTCCTAATATACTACAAATAAAAAAATAAGGTTGGATGTGATTCCCATGTTATATAAATAAAAACACTACAAATATTAATTGATTTAAAGTGCAATACACACTTTCCTGCATATGCTTGGATGTGATTAATAAATAAAAAATATATATCTGCTCTCTTTACGTTAATCAAAAAGGTAGGTACATAGTATGGATTGGAAAAGGAAACCCCGAAAATAAAAATAGCAAAATTACATTACTCACGCCAAACTGGGGTTCCTCAACCAAATACATGTATACAAAAAACAAAAAGACCAAAAGGTTGTATACCCAAATACATGTATACACGTAAAGAAAGAAAAAATGAGAAGAGCAGAGCCCAAAAAACCATCCAAGATACGATCTAGTAGCCTCGATATAGCTCCCAAAAAAAGCTCCAACCAAAGTCTCGAAGCACCTGCAAAAGAAAGGAGCAAAATCCACAGCAGAAGAGAAGCCCAAACAAATAAAAAATGTTGGTTGCGGTAAAGTAGCAGAAAATGCTCCTTGTATCCTCCAGCGAGGAAGGCTTTCACAAAGTAAGAAAATAATAATCTCTTGCCTGAACCATCCAACAAAATAAAAATTTGACAAACCAACTGAGACCCAAACCTCAAAGTGATAAATTGTATAATATAAGTTTTTGAGACTATTCTTCAAAATCACCTGAAGCCAAACTTGAGAGTTCTCAATAATCAAATATATTTGTGAGGCCATAGACATAAGAAAATAGGAAGAGAAATGCTAATCGTAAATAGCATAGTCCATCCAATGATCAACAAAAGTTGAAGCCGTTCAACCCAACAAAATAACCCATCAAAAACAAGGTGGAAAGGACTGTAATGCAAGCTATCAAGCAACTAAATTCTGATAAAAGGGAGCTCAAGTAAATCACCCATAATGAAAGGTTTAAGTTGTGGTATGGGACGAATCCCATATAGCACCTCAGAAACTTCCCTACCCTTTCGAGCAAGCCAATTCGCCGGGGAATTGCCTTCCCTATAAATGAAGGACATTTGTATATTTAAATTGTATCTTTGAATAACATCACAAATTCAGTTCATAATGACAAGAAAATCCCATCTAGGTTTAGAGGCCTTATAGAACTCATCAATAAGCATTTGAGAGTTCGTTTCAAAGATAACTTTAGAAAGCTTAAGCCGTGCCGCAACTTGTAAGGCCAATAAGAAGGCCCAAATTTCAGCTTCCAAAGGAGTGGAAGCAAGGATAAGAGAAGCAAGGAAAAACAAACACTGCCCGACATGATTCCTTAAAATGCCCCCCACGCCCGCCTCGCTAGAGCTCCAACTACCATCAAAATTAAACTTGGCCCAATCCAAAGGTGGGGGTTGCCATCTAAATAAAATGGCCATCCTATCCAACCTTGTCGGTACAGTGTCAGCCGATAAACATAGAGCACGACAAGCTCTGTGAAAGTGAGCAAGGATATTAAAAATAGTAAGAGAAGGAGAAAAAAAAATATTCCCGTGTTTAGCATCGTTTCTCGCCCCTCTGATGAACCACAGAACCACAAGAGGGAACCAAAAAAGCTTTTTATCCACCTGTGTAGCTGCTTTCCAAATATCAAGAAAATTAGCAATAAAGGAAGTATTCATCAATTTAATATTAAAATGGTTACCAAACCTGTTCCAAGTATCAGTAGCAAAATGACAAAGAAAGAAAATGTGCGCAGCCATTTCCAAATCTCTTTTACATAAATAGCATTGAGACGCAAATTTTAAACCTTTAAGCTTTAAAATATCATCCAAAGGCAGAATATTCAGAAAAAGCCTCCATAAGAAGAAAGAAATAAATGGAGAAAGTAATTTGTTCCAAATAAACTGCCCCCACTTCCAATCTCAGTAATGATAAAGATTAGTATAAAGCATTTTGGTAGGAGAGATAGAAACCGTGGATTTCTACAAACGAATATCCCTCATATTATTCTTAATAGGAAGTTTAGAAATCCTAGTCGTCTGGTGATACACCAAAAATATATGCATTTTTAGACCCATATTTTATACCAATTTTTTATGATATTGCACTTTAATGTAAGATATTTTGATGATTTCTTTCGGGTTATTGATTTTTAGGGCTTAAAGCAAAAATGGATGAAATTTGAAGTCAAAATGAAGTTTTTGAATAAATGCTCAGCGCCAGCAGCGCCGACGGCGCAGAACAAATTAAAGTGGGAGATTTTTACTCGGCGCCAGACCAGCGGAGATGGCGCCAAAGGCGAAGCCGACCGTGGT